AAGAGCAACTAGGGAATCTGTTTATTCACTCCCACAAAAGCTTTACTTAACTGATATGCAGAGTTACTATTTCAGAATGAATTATAAACCAAGCTCATTTTAAGTGGCACCTTTGCTGGTTGAGTTTTGTTTTATTTCTGAAAACCACATTAGCAGCATACAACTATTAGTTGGTTTATAAATGATATGCAGAATGAGTAGCACTATTAGTATAAAACTATGCTTGACTTCTACAGTTTTCAAAGAATAAAGGACCTTTATGAGCTCTCCTCTTTGGGGAAATATTTTTAAAATTCAGTAACTGACATATATTCAGTTCAAAGGAAGAAACAAAACCAGACAGAAAACACAGAGTGGTTTATATTTTTATGACTCAGTACAATAAGCAGTGCTCCTCCAGTATGGTAGGGGATTCATCCCAACACGTCCTTCAACATGGCACTAGTATTTTATAATGACTTCCTACAAGTCCTTTGTGATCTTGACTGCCTCTGTCCATTGCCCTTACGAAGATATGCCCCATGATACTGCACTTGTCAGAGTGTTTTTCTGTTTCCAGAAATAATTTGTTTCTCCTGTCAGGCCCAGCACACCATCTTTCTCAAACAGCCTCTTCTGTGTGGCCATCTGGAAGCATCACCTCAGCGCAAAACAGGCAGGCTGCTGGATTTGTGTTGGCTCACTTCTCCTCAGTACTGGCTACTGCCCTGAAGGCAGCATTACATTTTATTCCTGGACTACACAGCATTATAACTAGATATGCAGACATGTCATTTTGATTGCTAAGTTCTGGGCCTATTGACGTCTGTGACAAGACTCAGAGAAAGACCCAGGAAAAAAGGATAAAGATGCAGAGGAAGGAATCAGCTGAGGACAAGCAGAGATAATGATCCAAGATTCCAGAACCGAGTAAGTGCATGGTGGAATACTGTACCTGAAATGCAGCATGGAGAGCCCTCTCTCATGCAGTGTTTTGGAAGAAGAATCATAGAATCATAGAATCATTTAGGTTGGAAAAGACCTTTAAGATCATTAAGTCCAACCATTCTGAAAGACCACCAGATTTCAAGAGAAAAAAATGAACTAAAGAGCAGTGAAAAGACCCAAGGTGCTAAAACCATGGAGAAATTAGATTTCCAAATCTCTGAAATGTGGGCCTTTCTATAGTCAGAAAACATTACAGAAAATGAAAGTGATAAGTAAGAAACAGAGGGAAAAGGCGGAAGAATCCTCCCTGGATCTAAGACAGATGGGAGGATCAATGAGAAAAGAGGAACATTGACTTACTATAATTAATATTATAGTCTTTTTCTGCCTGTCTTCATAATTAAAGTGTAAAACATGGCTGCATTATTCCTTGCCATGTATAGTGCCTAGATATAAATCATCTATGGGCTCGTGACTACACTTCAGTGAAACTAATGACATGAAAGTCTGTAGACTTGGGATGAGGCAGCATTTATAATAAAAAAAGATCAGCTTGGTGAAAGGAATACTAAAATTGTTTCTATTATAATAATATAACTTGTGTGCCTCTTCATGTTACTATGCTTTAAGAATGTGTATGATTATCACTACGTATAAGAATCATGAATCATTCAGTTTCCCAAGGACATCCCCAGAGAACTGTCTCAAATGCAGACATTTGAGAGTTCCCAGATTACTTGCTGGAGCTGGAGAGACTGATTCAAGGTCTTTCATGGATAAATTATCAGCTTTCCTGAAATGGCATTTAAATATTGTGCTTCAGAGGTCAGTTGGAGTTACTCCGGTATAAATTGAGGGTAGTCCAACATACTGGGGTTCACCACCACCTGGGTTTAAAGGCAGATAAAGAAATGTTTGGGTGTTTTTTAAATAGCTGTGTCACTTTGCTGTTTATCTATCTAATTTAGTAACTGTAGAAGTTAGCACTCTCACCAGAATTACCATCAGCTAAGACCATTGCATCTAGAGTAAGTGTTGAGAAAGACTTGGTCGTCAACAAGTAGGGTAGCATCCAAGGATGGGATATTCCTACTCATAGTCCCTTGGTTTTGTTTCACAGATACAGTCTATTTTTTGAGCAGAGGAAAAGAACACAGAGCCTTTCAGTTACGAGATACCTGTTCTTTCATGCTACTGCGAATCTCTTGGACTTCAAAAAATTAAAAATTAGTTTGAAAAAGCAGAGATGGTTTTCGGTTATTCCAAACAGATGGCTTAAGGGGAAAGATGCAACATTTACTGCTGATAATAAATTACTAGCAAAATGCAATAACAGCAAATACAAAACTGGTTTTGCCATGCATATTTTAAGTCAGTAAGTGCCATTGTGCCAACAGTGTGGAGAATGGAGTCCTTAGAAAAATCAGTGATCATCCTTTCTTCCCCAGTCCTTTGCTGATGCTATTCCTTCAGTGCTGCCATAGAAGCTAATGGAAATTTTGCTACAGATTTTAAATGGAATACAGCAAGCTTTTTGCGTTATAATGAAGAAAGATATGCTGAAATTTTGTAAGTTACTTTTGCCTTCTAAATGTAAAATACTCTATTTACCTGGTCCTGTATCTGATCCTATTAAATAGGAAAAATTCCTATTTAAATCAGCCATTTATTGGTTGCAGTGGAGTCTTTCAAAAGATATCTCACAGAAATGTATTTTTTCCCATAAGGGAAAGACTAGGATATAAAAAAGAACAAAAACGTTAAATATTAAAACTGTATTGACTCCGCTGTGTTTAGTTTTGCTACTTAATTTCTCTTGGCTAAATCTCAGCGAAGAGGAGGATTTTTCGCAATGACTATGTGATTTTCTTTTTTTTTAAAAAAGGACTTCCAATACACAAAGATAAGCTTCTAAAAATAGGTTACCCATTACAAGGGACGCTAGATATTTAATGCAGTTCCTGTAGATCAGGATGGGTCCGTATTGAACATTCCATAGCAGCTCACAAGGTGCGTTTAAACGCCACGGTTACGGGGTTTATCCCATCCCATCCCATCCCATCCCATCCCATCCCATCCCATCCCATC